AATTACTGAAAGAGCTGAATGTAAGCCAGAACAGGAAGATGTGAGATGAGTTTATAGGAAACAGATCCCATTTGCTCAGACTTCCTTAAACAAAGCTTGCTGACTAGGGTCAGAGACCAACAAAGATAAAATAGTGATAACAAATATTTCTGCTTGATCTCAGTTGCTTACGTATGCCCACTAGGTAAAAAATTTAATGAAACATTCTTTCATCTCAGCGTAACTTTATAAGCAAATGCTTTTGCCTTATTCTTTTCCAAATAAGATTTGCATCCCATGCAAAGTAACAGGAAAAACTGAATTTCACTTGGGATGGTAATGGTTGTACTGGTGGGGATGCTGCCGAGGTGCTCTCTGCATGGCCTTGCTCACTGTGCCTGCTCTCGCTGTATCACTCCCTATGTTCTGTGATTATGTTGGTTGTGCTGCCCCATCTTGCGAGGTGGCTGCAGCTGCTGGATTCCATGTTTCTCCTCTCTTTATCCACCATGGGAAAAACATGGTGTGCTCCACTCTTGTGTGGACCAGAGAGCCCTGTTTTTGTGTCTCACTCTTGAAACCAGGAAGTTTCAGTGTTCCATTGTGGTCCAAAGAAGGGGAGCTGAGTCTCTGACAAGTCTTATAGGCTTCCTTAAAAAGGGAAAGGAAAAGGCATTTTAAAAAATGATCAACACACCTGAATGTAAGTGGTATTTCATGGGATAAAGAGAGTTTACTTCTCTGTCTGAATTTTGAAAGCCTCCTTAAAATTAAAACTCTTTAATTTGAGCTACTGAGGAAAAATCACAGGAATCCTCCTTTAAAGAAAGTGTTAGATAATCTAACTATAGGATAGCCAGCCAATTCATCTCATACAGGTTTTCTGTTGCAAAGTAACTATTTCTTCCATGAGAGCTTATGCAAAACTTCCAAACATAAACAAGCATGAAGGCTCGTCCTATTTTTCATTTCCATTGTAGCTCACAGTGAACATAGAACAGCAGTACTTTATTAGAAAATCTGTCAAATCTGGCACCTTGTTTTCTAAGCACTGCAAACCATCTCAAAGGGTGCTCAAGGGAGATTCTGCTTCAGTGTCACCACCCCCTGCCACTTTCTTTGGTCAAGCATTGCCTACTGCATCAATATTATGGATCCTCTTTAAATCATAGCACAGAACAAGAAACTCTGTCGAGGAGAAATCTTTATCTTTTATATTTTATTTCAAACTTTATTCTTCAGGAAGTTAATAGTACTAAGTAGTATAAAACTTAGCGGAACAGAAAAATAAAAGCCAAACATGAACATGAATTATTGCAGCAGCTGTATCCCAATGGTATGCTTTGACCAGAAGAAAAGGTATTTTCACTCTATAAAATATTTCAAGAAAGACTTTAAGTTTTATAAATACTCAAGTAAATACTTATAAAGGTGTACATAAATACTTATTAGAAAATGAGTACTTTTTATTAAAATTTGGAAACTGGAATTACAATGAAAAAGCTGGTATCTTTTAGTGATCAGAACAGTTCTATTGAAAATTTTCAAGTTTTTCAAAATTCTTCATGAAACAGGCATTGAGTGTATACTTAATGATCTATAAAATTAAAATGAACAAAATCAGTCTTTTCAGAATTCAGAATTTTCCTACTGATGTTTCTTTTATTCTTTTGATCTGCTTGAAAACTTAATAACACTGACTCTTGCTAGCAAAAGAAAATCTAAATTCACTGCCACTTGTCACTCTCTGGAAAGGCCATAGAGCTGGTCAGTGACTGAAAATTAGTTAAACCTAAATCTGTTTAAAGAAATTAAGTGAATTAGACTGCTAGACTTCCTCTGCTTGACTTAAAAAAAAAAAAAAAAAAAAAAAAAAAAACTGATTTAAAGTTATCTAGGGGTATGGTAATGAATGGGAGAAAGGGGTCATGTCTTCCCTTGATGGACTACAAATGGACTTGAGAGCAGCATTTCTCAGATGGCAGAAGATGCTGCACATCAAGAAAAAGGGAGGCAACAATAGCAGAAAAAAAAGTAGCAGAACACTTTTATCTCTGGAGGAGAAAGGAATATGGTTATGGATCCCATTCAGAGGCTTGGAGCAAGGGATTTTCCCAAGCACAGCAGACGTGAGTACAAAGTAAACAGGTGACCCTGCCGTGAAGGTGGAAAAGAGAGGACAGCTGCTTGTTGGCCTATGACTACATGATATCGTTACAGCAGGGAAATAATTTCTGAGCTGAATTGTAGCAGATAATGCAGCCTTTGGGGAGAGGAAGAGGAAGGAAAGTGGGCTTCCATCAGACTGGTTGATGGAAGACATCACATGCCAGAGGGACTTCAGGGAACTGGGGCTGCCTAGATAGCAAGAATCTGTAAGTTAAACGTTTCATACTCAGTGCTAATGCAAGCTTGTATTTTAGAAAACAATAAAAACTCCATTGTCATGTACTTTTTTTGTCTTGTATTTCAAGCAAAGTATTTGGTATTCACCTGTTTAATCTTTTTTTTTTTTTTTCCCTGCAGTCTACTAAGCAGCCAAAACTAGTGATAGTGCCAGTAAAACAGAAGGGTTCCTCAAGTAAAATTTATTTGTTTTTCATCCCCCATGAAATATAACTCTCCACATCCAAAAAAATGAAAAACAGTAAGGGATCTGTTCTCCCCTTTCGGCACACGTGTAACTCCATTTAACAGCAGCAAGATTAACACACGCCCATTAACTCCTTGAATGCTTGCATGCTGCTCACCACCAGCAGCCTAGAGCTGAGATGGGGGGATGCATGAATTCCATTTAGAAGCTGCATATTTTTAGCTTTTCATTTGGCTCTTTTTCTTTTTTTCTTTTTTTTTTCCTTTTTTTTTTTTTTTTTTTGAATTCTCATGTATGGCTGCAGCAACCATTTTTAACTTTTTGTAAGGGAGATAGAGCTTAAACAGAGTTTTCTAAGAAGGGGACAGAAGGAAGACAGAGGGTAATGCTGCAACTTCTGGCAGTAATTTAGGACAGCAGAAACAAAAGAGCCCCTCAGTAAAACTTCCCCTATTCAGAAGTCAAAACAAAATGTGGTGTTGTAATACTAATTCATTTTTTTACAAAGTACTTCAGGATCTAAAAGATGCAAGAGATAGCAATAGCACTGTCTTTATTGATCTCCACCCCACTGTAATTAATTGAGGTGTGCAGAAATAGTAGGAATCTATGGATCTGGAATGAAGCCAGCAAAATAGTGCAAATGCACTGGAAATTTATGCAGTAATTTGACTTTACACTTTAACAATTAAGCTTGCTCTCATATTCAACCAGGAAAGAAAAGAGAAACTTAAAGCTGAATTAACTTCTTACTACCAAATTTTGCCTCTGAAAGCAGATCATTTTTTTTGGCCTGGCTGCATGTCTTATTTTCCATTTTCCTCTGCCTCCCACACGCTAATGACTTGTGCATGGAATTCTTCTACTCTATGAACATATTTTCTTTTGAAGCACAGTCTCCATGGAGGTGGAAAATGTGAACGTGAAATGAAGCTTGCCATCAACTAAGAAGGTTAAAGATCTAGGAGCATGTACAACTCTATCCTAATAGTCACTTTATCAAGACATATTTTACTGACATTTGCTTGCATGGCATAGTTCTGTATTTTCTTGAAGACGAATATTTTTTTATTTTTTTATTTTTTTATTATTTTTTTTTTAACCTTTGGGCATGTGATTTGCCAAGGCAGTTCTGTGCCCTGGTGAATTTGTCTTTTCGGACTGAAGTGACCCAGAAGAAACTTAGTTCTTAATTTTTATTACTGCTGAAATCAGTAAGTAGATCCATCCTAAGCACTGACAGTTCTTATGTATGGAGTGAAAACTGAAGCACCTGCTCCTTCACACTCTGATGTTTTTCGGGCCAGAAGTTCTGTTTTGGTATTTGATGAAGAACCTGTTGATTTTGTTTTATAATGAGTAAATCTTTATGAGATATTTTCTTTGTGCTGATTCCATACAAGCAATGTGGGGAGATTAATGTATCCCAAATGTTGTTATGAAGAAGGCCCAATAACAATCGCCAGTGAAAGATACCTATATGGATAGGTAGGGGGTGACAGCAGGATGGGGCAGATCCTGGCAATTCAGATGACACATGCAGTTATTGCTGACAAGTTAACCTTCTGTTGAGCTCTAAGCAAAGGCTTTGTCCCTTCTTTATGTTACTAGATCTTTACTATATTCACCAAAGTCTCAGGGTGTGATTTTTTTGTTTGCTTGTTTGCTTGTTTGCTTGCTTTGGTTTTGGGTTTCAAGTTTTATGATATTTTTGTAAGAAATACACCAAAAACTTAATTTTTGTACTAGTGTATTTTTTTTATATCACACAATGACTGATTCTCCCTGCATTTTCATGTGATGCTTATAACTATAACTAATAGTCCTAATGAGAAGAAAGCAATCAGAGAAATAAGAGCCGCTGAATGGCAAAAAGTCTAGACCAAATCTCTTGTAAGAGAAATAGTTTATAATTTTGGCAAGATTCAGAATAACCCTCAAGTTCTGGTTAACTTTGTTAAGAAGTTGCTAGAGTGCTGTGCTCAGGGGTATCTCTGGATGAAGAAGAAATACAAAATAACTGAGTGTGAAAAGAAGTCATAAGTCATAATGGAATTTATATCCATTGAAATAAATATCTTATGACAGACACAGTGAAGAGAGACTTACTGTCAAATTTTGGCTCTTGAGCTACTTGCCTATCCATGTGCTTGTTTATAACATTTTTGTTTACATGATAATGGAGAGTAACTAGAAAAAAACTTCTACTGAATTATGAGAACTGTCAAGTTTTGTATGAAAACTATTAAAACTTTAAACAAAACAGTCTTCTGAATTCCTGTCCTTCTGGTCCCACGTCCTTATCTTGCTTTTACACTTCTGTTTAAACTGTTTCTTCTTTTCTCTCTTTTTTTTTTTTTTAATGTTTGGAGTTGACTCAATAACCTTGGGGTTTTTTTTGTTTGTTTTTGTTTTTTTATTTTTGCAGATGTTAAAATGATGAAGCACTCTCTCTCTCTGGAGCAGTGCAGAGCAGCCATGAGACCTCTGCTCCACTGTGGAAGGTATGCTGCATCCCGCTGCTGAACTGTTATGACATGTCTCTAGCAATCAGAAAGAAAAGCTGGGAAGAGCATGTGACCCAGTGGATGGGATTGGCTTTGGAGTCTGTGGAGTATAATACAGCATGTCGTCATGGACTCGTAGCTGATAACTTGCAGATAAGTATGGAAAAAGATGAAATTTTGAATGTGGACCGGAAAGAAAAATGTGCTTCATTTCCAGAGTGTTGTCATGGTGGAGAGCCAACTGGCTTCCCTGCAAAGCAGCTTGGAAATGTGTCAAAGGAATTGGATGAAAATGAAAACCATGAAGAGCATTTTCTGGAGGCCAGCACAGAAACTCTAGTCCATGTTTCTGATGATGATGATGATGATGATGACTATCCTGCACTCAACCTGAATGGCGTTAATCACCATATCACTGCTGTTGGAAGGGAACTAGAAGATGAAGAAGAGAGTTTAAATGGAGCAGGCTCCTTAAGACAGGTGGTACAAAAAACAGAGTGTAATGAGGAAGCTGAAACATCTGGCATAATTGGAGATGGGGACACAGTTCCTAAAGAGAAGATGGAAGAAGGTATTTGTGGCAGTATTGGCCAAAGCCTGGAGCTTTGTAGTTATGAAGCCTTAAATGAGGTAGTACAAGTAGAGAAAGAAAATCTTTTTAATTCTCCAAATGTGAAAGAAATTATTATGCCTGGGAAACAGCTGCTTCATACTGCTGTAATTGCACAACAGCGCAGGAAATCTGATGCTTTTAAAGACAGCCTTGGAAAGTCTGAATGTAATTTGGTACAGAGTGGGATTTCTTCTGATTCATGCCCCAGCATTGATAGACAGCCATGCTCAGCAGTGGAACCCAGTGAGTGCCTTATGCAATCTTCTCCTTGCTCTCATGTTCCGGCAGTGGAAAATGGTCTGGATGAAAGTGGTTTCACTGAACCTCAAGTGGCCCCTGAAAACAAATGCCTTTCAAATGTCAGTTCAGCAGAAGACACTCAGTGTTTACATTTAAGGATTGATTTGACCACACAAGAATATTCAGACAGTCAAGTGAAACTGCGCAAAAAAAAGGTAGGATGCTCATAAAGTACAAAGATTCTTTCTAACATTTTTTCTCAATTTCTTACAAAGGTAATACTGTGTCTTACTGTTTGGAGATATTTTTTTCCAGCCTTTTTCATTATCTACTCAGCTTTTTCTTCAAATAGTGAGAAAAATGTGACTATACAACAACTTAGTTTCAAGAACTCTTTTTAATGTTAAAAAATGGCTGAACTGTGAGTTTGAAATGTACTTTGTATCAAATTTATTATATATATATATATATGTGGTTTTATATGTGTTGATCATGGCTAAATGAATAAGCACCTTCTATGGATTTGTTGTTTGTTTGTTTGTTTGTTTTTTCTACTACTATCAGGTGTAATTAGTTGTCTTACAAAAGAAATTGTGTCCAGTGGCATGGAAGTCTTGTTTTAAAAAAGGGAGTGGAGGTACAATGGAAAAGTGGAACTAAACTTTAAAAGGAAGAAAAGAAATGCAGGGGGAGGGGGGTGGGGAAGGAAAAAAAAATTGAAATTCTTTGGTTTTCAGCTAAGCCCTGTGAGAAAATGTTCTTATAAAAAAAGTACAAAATAATGTTTTGTAATTTTAAAGCACCAGAGAGTTTCCCTTTCCATGCAAAGTAAAAAGGAGCATAATTCTAAAGCTTTTAATGGGCTGATTCTCCAGTAATAAAACTTGTGATGGCTTTTGTGGAAGGAGTTTTGCTGGCTGTGGCACTACAGGATTCATCCTGTATTCTGGCTTTCCCAGCTATGCTGCTAATTATTGCTAATAACCAGTGTCTAATTATTTACTCCACCCTCCTCTCTCTCTTTTTTTAAATTTGTTACCATTCAGCCTTTTTTGACTGTTTTTTTGTAAATCAGGATTCTATTAATTGTTTTTTTTTGTTTGTTTGTTTTTTGTTTTCTTGTTTTTTTCCATCAGCTGTAGCATCTCAGTAGAACTGCAAATCTTAGAGCACAAACTCATATGTTTGTGAGTACTGTACACCAACACAGTATCCTGAGTTGCTGGCCACTGTTCTCCTGTGGTAAAATTAACACTCAAATTACAAGATTGAAAGCTGAACATTTGCAAAAGATTTCAGAAGCTTAGAATTCCAGTTTTCCTTTAGTAGTTCATGCAATCTGTTAATGCAGTGGCTCCTCAACTGACTCTGCAGCAGCTGTGGCTGTTACAATTATAAAACAAGATGAACCATGTAGAAGGACCAAAAATGCTGAACTTAACTAATGGGTAGATAAAAGTTCCAATTTATATCATATTTGATAATGAATTAACTGTGTAACTATATTCTCAACTGCTCTTTCTGCATTTATTTTTCTTTTTTACTAAGTGTATTTGTTCATATTCAGGCATACTTTTCCTCCTGTTAGATGGTTTCATTTTTATAGTGTAGTTTCAAACTCTTATTTCAAAATAAGGGTTTAACTTCTTTTTATTATATAGAGATACATCACGACTCTGTCCACAATAACTTCCATTGCAATGTATTTTTAATAGCTTTGAAAATGGTAGCTACTGTGTATCTTAAAATTGAGAATATATTTGTGCTTTGTGCCTTTATTTATATAGAATGTAAAGGTTCCAATGAGAATAGCTAAGAAAGTAAATTAATCATAGAAAGAAGCAAAATAAGTTTTTTTGGGGGGAAGGATGAGAGTTGCATGGCTACAGCAACTGCAAAGCTGCGCTCATGGTCAAGGGGGACAGAATCTGGAGATCTGGAGGATTTGTCTAGTAACACTGTGGTTAAAGAACTCTACCAAAAAGAGGAAAGCTGTGATATGCTGTTGCTTCTGTTGTTATTTACCTCTAAGTCTGCAGGACACTTCTACAAACAATGTTCCTGCTTGTGGGATATTTTGACTTATAGCTAATCATACATTATAGTACAAAAAGGCCTGTCTGTGCTGGTAATGATCTGTAATGAAAAATGTGCATAAGTTTACAAATGCTCCCTGAAAGCCACTTTTGTAACTTTAACAAGACATTGGAAAAACAACTGACTTGAAACTGAATCCATCCATAAAAGTCAAGTATTTGCTTTGCAGTGACACGAAGACTTACGGAATTGGGAGTGATATATAAAACCTTTTCTCTCAAGGTCAGCAGTTCAAACAGTACGGTCAAGGCCTAAAACGTACCACTGTCTGATTAATGCTCAGCATCAATTATTGTTGCACCTAAATATATATTCATAAGGGTCAGAATACTGGAAGAAGAATATGGAGATAAATTGCTAGAGATATTTAGGCATTTGGACCTTGAGATTGTGCCCTGCGGGATCATAGAAAATTGCTGAACGTCAGGTACCTCAGTGACAGCTAAGATCTTAGGACCTCTGAGTAGAGATCATCCTGCTCTTCCTGGTAACAAATTCTTCTGAAAACCTGTTCCTCGTTAACATATTTTAAACTGCTTTTAATTGTGGAAACAGAGCATGACCTCTCCTCTTATCTTTAGATCTGCTGCTTTTAGACTAAAGCTGAGGTGAGATAGCATGGATCTGTGGAGCTTGCTTTGTAGATGAATGTCATTTTGAGGGCTTAAGGTCTTAAAGTTTAGTATCTTTGACCAACGCTAGCTCTACTGCTGTAGATTGCTTTAGTCTTGATGGATGTGCTGACACTGCAGATGCTTTTTGCAAACAGGTCCAGCTGTACAGCATTCTTCCAAGTTGCCAGCATTCTTATGGTTTATGCAAAGTACTCTCTTCTCCTTTGCTTTCTGAAGAAGACTTCCTAGGTTTCTGAAGTAGGAAGGGCATGAATATAATTGTGAGAAGATAATGATGTTAGGTCTAAATGAAAGATACTGCATTAATCAAGCTTTCCACTTACTCTCTTGACTGAAAATCAATTCTGTTTATCCACAACATAAAACCGATGGTAATTAATAGTGCAGAATAGCAAAAGCATAAATGAATTTGTTGAATGTGGTAACAGCAGTTAGTATCTACTGTCCTTGGTTAAATACATTTTAGATTTAGAAAAGTTATACTCATAAATTCTTATTTTCAAAAAAACTGGAATAATCTTTGAAACTAATGACTGCTCTGTAATGTTTTTAATTCACAGGATTCTCAATGCTGTGCAGTATGTTCACACATAGTGCAGTGAAAGTATTAGAGAACAAAGCATTATTTATTCTCAAGTGAATACTACAGAAAAAAAAAAAAGTGGGGGACAGTGGCCATTACTCTATAAAGAATCTTGTGAATATTTTCTTATGCCCTCCAAGCTGCCCATTTAATCAGGTTTAGAGATAACCAGCAAAATACCCACTGAGGACTACTGAGTAGGTGCACAAGTGCATCAGAACCAACATATTAGTTGAAACCATTTTTCAACACAAAATAGTAATGTTTCACAATAAATCCTCACTTCCTATCAAAATTGCTGACAGTTGTGGTGTTGAAACCTGTAGTATTTTCCCAGGTGCTGCTTTTCATACCCAGACCAGGCACTGGCACTCATTGGCACACCCATCTCTGCCCATTTGAGGAAACATTCAGAGAGCCTGGCTGCTTACCTGTGCATCCTGACTGTCCTGAATGAAGTAGAGCAGTCTTAGTTTTCATCTGTGCTCTCTCTGTGTTGAGCCTGGTGGCATAAGGTGGAGGGAGATTTTACTTGGAGGTGTAAGGTTGGCTGAGTCTGAGTACGTACAGCAGAGCTCTGACTGTACCTGTTTTTGTTGCCACTCCTGCGTGTTCTCTTTGTTAGATAGGATTTTTCTCTCAGGATTTGCCAGTGAAATCTGTTGTGCAGCTTATCTATTTTGAATGTGGACTTATTGACTCTATGGAACGCGTGTTCTCTGTGGCCTATAAGACAGAGGTACTGTTTGTAGATTGTTTTGCTATGCAGATATTTGATAAACAATATTAATAAATTTTGTAAGATGAGTAGTGAAAGAGCATGGGTGTATTTATTGCAAAGGAAATGCAAGGAAATAAGAAATTAATATATGATTGGTTTCAGGAAAGGTAGTTGATATATTGTGCCTGGTGATTGGGAGTTTATGTCAGTTCTATTCCTTCCAAGAATACGTATGCAGGATATTACTTTAGGAAGAACTAATTGAAATGAAAAACTAATTGGAGTATATTTGGTGAATTTTTATCAGTTTCTCTTCATGTGTAATCCTAGACTGCATTTAAGTTTCATTAAAATCACAGAATCACAGAATCACAGAATCACCCGGGTTGGAAGGGACCTCAAGGATCATGTAGTTCCAACCCTCCTGCCTAGCAGGGCCACCAAACATACACATTCAGATCAGGTTGCCTAGGACCCCGTCCAACCTGGCCTTAAACACATCCAAGGACGGGGCATCCACAACCTCCCTGGGCAGCCCGTTCCAGGGCCTAACCACTCTCCTTGTAAAGAACTTCCCCCTAACATCCAACCTAAATCTTCTCTCCTTCAACTTGGATCCATTTCCCCTAGTCCTGCTGTTGTCAGCCCTTTTGAAGAGTTTACTCCCCTCCTGGGTGTAGGTTCCCTTCAGGTATTGATAGGCTGCAATGAGGTCACCCCGCAGCCTTCTCTTCTCCAGGCTGAACAAGCCCAACTCCCTCAGCCTGTCCTCATAGCGGAGGTGCTCCAGCAGATGATCCCCTGATCATCTTAGTCGCCCTCCTCTGAACCCTTTCCAAAATCTCAATGTCTTTCTTGTACTGAGGGCTCCACACCTGGACACAGTACTCCAGATGGGGCCTCACAAGAGCCGAGTAGAGAGGGACAATCACCTCCTTCTCCCTGCTGACCACCCCTCTCCTGATGGAGCCCAGGAGATTTTGCTTATGTGATTCTGAAAATTAGCAACAATTTCAGAGTATGATTTCCTCACTGCTCCTTTATCTAACTTCCATTTTATATTTACTATTTCTAACTCTGTGGTGGCCTCCTGAAAATCTTTCCAGTTGCAAGTAGTCAATGTTATTTCTAAAACATTCTTACAAGAGTATAACAATCAGGGCAAAGGATACTTAAGGA